ATATATAGTAGTTAGCAGTGTTGAATTTGTAGGGACCACTATAACGGAACTGTTGGGAAACCACTTTTCTGTGTATTTCTAATAATTCCCTTGCAGCCAACGCTGATTCATTGTGCGCACAAAAACCATGGAACTGAAAGAGATACCGTTCATCACAATTACATCAACCTTCTGATTGGGCTTACCGGAACTGCTTGGTCCTCATTTCTGTTCGGTTGGCACGTACACGAGAAGGCAGTACTGATAATCTTGCTACCCCTAAAGTATGTTTTATTTCAACATTCTAGCACGACAATACGGACCTCGTAAGATGCTGTACACTAATCTACGTTTGTATTATTTCTATCCTGGCAGCTTATTGGCCATAGGCGTACCAAAATATCGATTTGTTGCTTTCTACGTAACAACCCTCGGTCACTATAGTCTGATGCCGCTAATCCACACAGTTCCTGGTAGGTCAAGCTAAATTTTCTCGATTTTATCCAAACATTGTCTATATACATCTCCGATTTATTCTGCTGCTACAAGATTATATTATACCAAGTCATCTATCCGATTCTTAGTTTCACTGTTTGCATGCACAGCGGTGTGTATTTCGTCCTGAATCCTTTTTTGAAGCGAATAAGGGTACTTACCATACAACTGACACACACACACACAGCTTATGCCAGTTGCTATCTCTTCCTGAACAAATTGAGCATTTCTGCGGTCTGTTTGCACCAACACAGTTGCGGCAGAGTGCTGTTTGAATATGGTGCCGATACTGACAAGCCAGAGGGTTTAAAGATATTCCAACAAAACTTTTTTGATGATATTTCCGGGACTAAATCAACCTTTTGTTTACACCTAACTTCCATGTGATAGTCATTCGTAACGGACCATGATAACGTAATACTAATATCGAGTGCCGATTCTCCATCTACAGTGGAAGTAACTCATTGCATTTCATATTCCTTTTCCTTCTCTAACCGCTATTTTCTGGAGAACTGAGGAAGAGAGTAAACACGTTTATACCAAAAGATACATCACTCTACTGTACACATTTTGGACGACATATTATCATATACATGGAAAGCTGATATAGTTTTCTACTTCTTGCAAAGCCACTTTACAAAAGTGTTGGGTTACGAGTTATAAAAACTTAGAAGCTATTCAGATTCGCACGCGTTCCAGTGCTTCCTACTGACCGTTTGCTTTGTGAAGCGAAGCTCACCTGTTCATGGGTAACCACCCGACCCATAGATTCGCCCGTTATTGCAGAATTCCATTGGTCGTGAAATTCCGATACCCTGTGGTCCTGATTTTTAGTAATGGTAGCCTTCGAAAGCCTCAGTATGGTCGCGATGGATGTCTGGGATTGTGATTGATCACCATTTCCTTACACCTCGCGAAATGCTCCTATATGACCGAGCGTCTCAAATAGCCTCTGCTGAGGAAGCCCTACTCACTGCCTTCTCGTGGCGGAGGTGTTTTCGCACCACAGTGAGAGAACGAAAAGCCGACACCCGGGTTGATGAACCTTTGACAGTTCACCTAAGGGAGTTGACTAAAAACCCTGATTCCAAATCAATCAAGAAGACGCGTAAGAACCACACACTTTCCTGGCCGACGCAGTGGTCACCGGCTCATTA